AAAAGCTAGGGGAAATAAAAACATAATAACATACTCCAGTCTGTTCTGTCGAACGTCTTCAAAATGTCACCTCTGCTCTAATGTTTTCATCAGAACTTACTCAAAAAAACAAACAAGTGAATATTTCAAGATATCCTACCTTTTATGGCACATTCTAGCCGATATTGTTTCTACAAACACCGTTGGTTACCTACTGGCCGGAGGTAAAATGAGGAAGAATGAAGTTCGTTCTTAATTCGGTTAAGTGGGAATTCTTGCACTTTCGTCTATCAAACAAAACAATATTATTATGCTCAACCTAACAGCGATACTAATGCAACCCCAAGTTAAAAAACATTTTTTCAATCTTTTTGGAATTGTATCAAAAGAGGTTTTAGAATTCCAAGTATGGTTAAACTTTAGTTTACAGACAGCTTTGTGCCAGCTGGCATTTTAAACTGAAATAAAAAAACAAAGGCAATCTTGTTCCCCCCGGAAGCCGTTCATTTTCCTCGCCCTGACATAAAAAGACCATTATTGTGTGGACGTGTTCACGGGTAAACAAACACGCACAAAGCATATTACGAACACCCAATAGTCCAACGTTCTCAGCATTTCTCACCTCTCCCCATGGGCCTGGACTAGGCCAACGCTTCTTTTGTCAACAAACAAACATTACCACAATATCAGAATCATGTGACTTTCGCCAGGTTTCAACGCCCTAAGTCCCCGAAACTCTCCGGACTAAAATCATCCAGGGAAAAGTATTCACTAATTCAAATATTACGTCTTTCATATTTGCTTCCGCCTCTCCTTGATCCAACCTCCTCGATGGGAGAGCGGCCAAAGAACAAGAGGCTCGCATCTGATTCCTACATTTCACGCGGCTGCCACATTCTTGCGCGCAAAAAATACAACAAAACATGAGCGCTTCTCTGAGCGCCATGCTGTGGACTCCGTCAACAAACACACATCCCTGTCTTGTATACACCGGGGCTGTAGGGGGGAAGCCCTGGGCTAACATTCGGAGAGACAGAGGCAAGGTTGTTTGGTGCTTGTGCTTGTAAAACCTTGAGGGGGAGGAAGGAAGCTGTCATCCTGTTCATGTAAGGGGCAGCAGTGTAATTGATGGGTTATCGTGTTTGCAAGGTGCTGCTTAAACCTGTGAAGGACTGCAATCACAAGCTTCGGACGCCCCGTTTGTAAATTCCACAGAGCGTGCTCTAGAGGAATAGTGGCCTTAGAGGGACAAGATTCCAACTCCATGCAAGCAGAGTATTTTTGAGATACTGACAACCGAAAAAAAAATTAGTTGTAATTCGTTTAGTGAAGGGTAATGGAAGGCATTATGACACGTTCTGGGGAGAAAATCCGTGAAGCTTTAAAACGAATTGTTTTTGTGGTATAATATTTAGTTTCTTCACCATTGCACATGTGAGACGTGAACATTTACTCTGTGTCAGGGATTTTGTAAACAACGCTCAGGTTGGCCCTGACAGACTGGGTCGGAATAGCCCGCCTCCTAATTCTTGTAACTTTTATCGGGGGACGTAAAATATTCATATTTACAAATGTATGTATAATGAGGCATGAGTTTACCAATGACCGCAGAGAGGTCCTTTTGTAGCCGGGCTTAATTCAATTCTCAAAATACTTGTCATTTTGATGCCACTTTGAGCTATGAAGATGTCTCACCATTCCTATGAACCGACTGTTCTTCACTCTTCTTCTTTATTTCTATTTCTATATTTTTCCATTGTTATTCTTTATTTCTCGTGATTAGCTTGCTAGATCACGAGGATATCTGTTTTAATATCATCATCATCATCATCATCATCATCATCATCATCATCATCATCATCATCATCATCATCATCATCATCATCATCACCAACGTTTCTTTGCGCTAGTTCCCAAGTTCAGTTGTCTGTTAATTCTTGTCCGAAGAATGCAGTGTCCAGAGACCAAAATGCAATATGCAAAAGACAAGCTGCATGATGATAGGTCAGTTTTGGGGAAATCAACACACACACACAAACACACACACACACACACACACACACACACACACACACACACACACACACATACACACACACACACACACACCCGCACACACACCCTACGAGGACCTTCAAGTCATTTATTCTTTTCCTAGACAAGAATGACCTCTTTTCCTTCACAGATCCAAGAGTCTTGGCTATCTGAAGACCCACGATAGTCTTCTGCTAGGTACAAAGAGTCATGTCTTAGATCAAACAACTTTTCCAAGGGGGCTGTGAATGATCCCCACCTTCCATCATTATATTGTTTGTCTATGGGTCTTACTTTTTCTGTTCGTAAGTTTTACAGCCTTCTGAATAATTATAGTTTGGGGCACAGCACACCGTCAGCTCAGTTGGGATAATGCTGGAATATGGAGTCAGTTGCCCCAATTGAATCCCCAATGTGGGTGTTCTAAACTTGGGTTGTTGGTTTTTTTGGTTTTTTGTTGGTGGTTTTTTTTTGGGGGGGTTTGTTGTTGCGCATTTGCCGAACACTGGCGTACCAAAACATTAGGCGTTAAAACTTTCTCATTTGCATATAAGCTTAGGTTTCTCTATCTATTTGGCTCGGATCTATTGGTAAAGGGTGTTACACGCGGAGGTCCCGCCTTTTAGACAACTCAACATTGTTGAATGTAGTGTTTAACAGATACACTGACAATGACAATTCATATATTTCTATTGTTCTATTTTAGTGCTCCCAATGCAAAAGTACGAAATCTATGCATTCAAAATTGTATTCACAAAGAAATTCTAACATCTTTAACATATAAACATCTCCAGCATAATTTTAAAAAAATTATAAACGAAATCATTTTTATTCTTTTATCAGTTCACCATCTCAAATGATTTCACATTAATGTGGCAGGTCGTTCAGCCACATATTTCTTTATCCTCTCGTTCTGGCCAACTGTTTCAGTGAGGGTCTTGACCAGCGGGAAGTTATCCAGAGGACAGACAAGATCCACCAGGGCGCCGGTGATGAAGTCATACACTGCGATGTCTGCCAAACTCAGCTGAAACATAAGTGATATTATAGGGATTGGTTACTCTGTTTATTATTTTGAACACGTTGTCATTGTAGAAGAAAGTAGACTAATAATATGCAGCAATTGGTCACTTTTACATAAATGCTTGAGGAAAAAGTTAACAGATTTTGTGGTTGTTATGCCTTTTGTCTCTGTACGGACAACGATCAACTCAGCCCATATTATGAATCAGACGTCTGTGGAGAACTGGTAATGTTCTATATTGTTTCACCCCCCCCCCCCC